GGGCATTTAATGTAAAATGAAATGTGCTGTAAGCTGCTCTTTCTTCAAATCGGAACCGCCCAATTGCTCTGATTAGAATTCAACTAAAGTACCATAGAGAAATACAGCTCTACCTGTTTTGGGTTTTTTTTGGACCCCAAAGGAAACGATGTAGGTTAGGATGAAAAATTTCCATTTTGGAAGCAAATATTGGAGAAATTAGCCGCATAAAAGAGTCCTCAGTTCCTTCACCTGCCCTCTGTTAAAAACAAGTTATTAAAACAAGCAGAAAGCTTGCCTGGGCTTTTAAACGATGAGGCCAGTCAGTTGCCCTGAATAAAAGGCATTACAATACACATAAATGAGAGGGATTGAAGGTGTTTCAACTTCATCAAAAGCCTTGAAAAGGATGACACTCTGCATCTGTGCTTTCAGGAAGTTTTTCAGGCCTGATATTTATTTTAAATCAGAACGGCTTACAAAGCAAACCCCCTTTACAAAATGTGTCACATGTAGCAATCCCAGAGATGACCTCTACAATTCTAAGCTGGACAGAGAGTTTACTCTTAGAGAAAAAAACTAGATCCCTCTAATCAGCTTAAAAAAATCACTATGAACAGTCACTTCTCTTATTTAAAAGTTTAACTTTACTTTCATCAATTTATAATCAGAGTTCCTCTGGTATGTTTGATTCCTGACAAACAAGGATAAAAGTCGTGTGCCCCCATTGCTAATGAGATGATAAAGCAGCAGGGATCAAGTTTTTAATTACTACAGGCGATGCACTGGAGAGGTACCGATGATATTTTCTATTGCATGTCTAAGTTGTAACTTCAGGCTTATGACAGTCCTGCTGAGTTCGACTGCCTTTGATGATCACTCATTTTTGTCTCCTGAGAACATACAAAAATTTCTGAGCTAGAATCCTGGGGGGCTGGCAATTATTGGCGTAACCTGGCACAGGTTCCCCTCTCCAACCATCATTGCTCAGTGAGGATCCAGTTTCTTAACGTCTGCCCTTACACCAAAAGGGAAATTGGATATCCAAAATGTCTGTGAACTTTCATACTCAAATAATACCCATTCTCACTCTCCCAGCATGGGCTTTCCGTTAATAATAAAATATTTAATTGAATTGGGAGATTTCTAGTACAGGCTGTTTCATTTCTTTTCAAAGTCATGATAGAAATTTTTTTGTTAAAACCTTATTTATCTACACATTTGTAGACACATATTATATTTATCACTCTAAACTATTTAAACATTTCTAACAGTCTTCTCTTTGTTACTGCAGACAGTTGATAATTGAAATGTTTAAAGGTGCCATTATTTGTCAGATAAGGTCAGATGTTCTCACCCTGTTTGAAATGGAAACCAGGAGTGGGTTCCGTTAACTCTGTTGTTCACACACACGCACGCACACACACACGCATGCACGCACACACACACATGCAAGCACACGCGAGCACACACATGCGCATGCACGCACACATGCACACACACTCACACATGAACGCACACACGCACACACACATGCACACACGCACACACACACAGGCATGCATGCCCCCCCCCCCACACACACACACAGTCTCAGTGGTTGGCCAGGGCATTCAACAAATTTGACATTCAACAGATTTGCTCCAATCCCTGTTTTTAGCTATACAAATGTGAGCACAGAGCTCATCTGATTTGTAGACAATTACTTAGCCAGTCTGAATACAACCGCCCAACTCATCAACCAGCTAACCAACCAGCCACAGTCTTTGAGCACTCAAGTAATTTCAAAATTATAAAGTAAGAATTGAGTGTCAGAATTACAAGCACTGGCTGAGTTTACTAAGTAGTTTACATGTCTAAGATTTTAGATCATAAGCAACAACAAAAAAAAAGCCTTCTCAGCTACTCCATTGGGAAAAACCCATAAATGAAAAGAGATTTACAAATAGCAAAAAAAAATGAAAATGAACTCTTCTTTTGTCTGTCTCCTTCTCAGAATCTAAATCACAATGCCCATTAGGATTTTTTTTTAAGGTGGAGTGTCAGTCTGTCACCCAGGCTGGAGTGCAATGGAATGATCTTGGCTCACTGTAACCTCCGCCTCCCAAGTTCAAGCAATTCTCATACCTCAGCCTCCCGAGTAGCTGGAACTGCAGGCACCCCCGACCATGCCCAGCTAATTTTTATATTTTTAGTGGAGACAGGGTTTCACCATGTTGGCCAGGCAGATCTTAAGCTCCCAACCTCAGGTGATCTGCCCTCCTTGGCCTCCCAAAGTGCTGGGATTGCAGAAGTGAGCCATCTCGCCCAGCTGGGAATTTCTATTTGTATCAATTTACCTTTCATGGTCTTTAAAAAAAAATCACATATGTAAAATATAAACACCAGATACTTGTAGCTTATTTTCTTTTGACAAAAGAAAGTTAAAAAATGTTTTAATTATGCTATTTGTGTATAATATAGAATTTGCATTGCTCGTGTTAGTCAGGATAGAAGAACATCCCAGAACCTTGGTAGCTGGACACAGACGACGTGTACTTCTTGTTCATGGATGTGCCATGAAGGTAGCCTGACTGGGCAGCCCTCCTGGGAAGCTGTCCTCAAGGACTGGCTCCCGGGGTCCAGTGGCTCCTTATCTTCTGGAATGGCAGTGCCCCTGACTCTCCACATCTTGATGGTTGCAAGGCAGAGCCAATTTGGAAGAGCTCCTGTCAGCCTCACCTGGAAGTGTCTGTGTCTGTGTGCTCACATTCCATTGGCTAGAGGGCAACAAGACACCATGGAGATGCAGTAAAGCCCAGAAAGAAAATGAATTGGTTTGCTAAACAACTGTGAATTTGGAGGAAAGAGACTTTATTCCAGTGAACAGTTTGCAAACTGGGGGGATGCAGCCTTTCCCACACAATGAAGGTGTGTTGCAGAGAACAAAAGGGAGGCTCAGGTTTTAAAACAAAATGTCCTGCCCAGGTTCCCAATCAGGTCTGTTTATGCAAATGAAGAATTGAAACTTGCTTAGTTCTGATTGGTTGATGCATTTGAGCCCTGACTGGTTGATCCAGTTGAGCCCTGATCAGCCAATGAGGCAGGTGAACTCTGATCGGTTGGTTCATTTGAGCTCTGAAAGTCTCAAAGATAAAAAATTGTGGGGTAACTCAGGAGATAAAAATGAGCGATCATGAAAGGCCATGGAACTCAGCAGGACTGTCATCAGCCCTGTCACGCTAGAACACATGTGTGGCCTCTAGCCAGCAAATGGTTGCTGGGCTCAATCTTAAGTTGGGCTGTTAGCCACTCAGGATTGATCCAGGGTTCACAATTCAAGTTCACATTTGTTCATTCAATGTACGTCTCTTTCCTGCATTAATTATAATAATACCCATATAGAATGCTTTATACTTGTTGAGGGTTTTATTAACACTATCTCATTTCATCCTCAGAGTCTTGGAAACTAGACAGACACTATTATTTACAGATAAGAAAACTGAGATTCAAAAAATATTAATTGCTTTTCGAGACGTCAAAGAGTTGTTAAGAGCTAGAACGAAATGCTGGTATTCTTATTTCTCTTTTCCTTTTGTTTGTGTTATATCACATGTTTGCCATGATTTATGAAGTTTACCCTCCTTTAGAAATAGTTATTATAAGGCAATCTGTTACAGATAAACAGTCTCGAAACATTTTCATCTTCTACATAATGTAACTTCATATGAAATTGATCATAAGATCCTAGTAATCTAAGCTACAGAAAGCTTTCTTGTTTTTAATGATCACTCGTTGACATAATTTGAAGTCTTTGCAAAATTTGATAAAGTATGAACACAGAATAAATAAGTAATCACAGTTTTCAAAGTGATATATCTTGAAATTTGTTTACAGATCTTATGCTGTTGAAGATTATATCCATCTTAATTAGAACATGACTAACATTTTTATAATTCTGGTGATTGCCATATCGCCATGTCGTTAAACCCTTATATTCCTTCCATGGTGTTGGTCAGACCAGAAAATAAGGCATACATATTTAAAGTAAAATAATGGCCTAACATTATTGTGAAAATATATGCATACAGCTGAATAATATAGTAGATACATGAAAAAGCTCATTTAAAAAAATTCTTTCAAGAACATATAGATCAGAGGCCTTTAATGATCAAATTGCTCAACTATGAGAATATTGTAGCTAAACAATTTATCCAACAGTTTAGATTTGAGCAGGTAGGCAGGTAAGAGCAGGTCGTTGCTGAGTGAGTTCAAAACCAGTGCTGACCATGCATGGGTCCACTGTTGTAGATATTGACTGATGCCTGCAGAATCCAGCCACCATGCCCAGAATCCCATTGACATCATGGTGAATCCATGCAACAGAAATGCAAGGTGTGACTGTAGGCCCCCTCCCCTTTCTTCTAATAAAGACACGTGAAGACAAAGTGTCGGGGAGAGTCTCACTTAAAATTCAGATGCAGCGATTCTGAGGCCTGTGTTGAGATTTTTGAAATCCACAATAAATTATTATTCTTCTTCCTCCTGCTTCAACCCCTTCTCCCCTCCTCCTCCCCTTCCTCCTCCTCAGCCTCTTCCTCCTGCCCCCATTCTTTCCTTCTCCTTCTCCTTTCTCTTCATCTCTCCTCCTCCCTTTTCTTCTTCATCTTCCTCCTCCTCCTCCCCTTTCCCCTTCCTCCTCCTCTGCTGCCACCCCCACCCCTTCTTCCTTTTTCCTCCTCTCTCCCTCCCTTCCTCCTTTCCTTCCTTCATTCGTTTCTTCCCCTGCTTCCTCCTCCCCTCTCTCCTTCCCCCCTCTTTTCCTTCTCCTCTCCTCCTCCTCCTCTTTCTTCTTCTTCTTTTTCTTGTTCTTCTTCCTCTTCTAAATTAACAGGCTTTATTTTTTAGAGCAGTTTTGGGTTCCTGCAAAATTTAGCAGAAACTACAGAGGGGCCCTATGTAACCTCTGTATCCACAGAGACACCACCAACATTCTATACCAGAGTGGTCCCTTTGTTACAGTCGGTGACCCTGCACTGATGCGTCCTTATCACCCGCAGTCCATAGTTCACATTAGGGTTCACTCTTGGTGTTGCACATCCTATGGGTTTGGACAAGTGTATAATGACGTGTATCTCCCATTCCATTATCACACAGAGTACTTTCACTGCCCTGACAATTTTCTGTGCCCCACCCATTCATCTTTCCCTCCCCTGCAGCCTCTGGCAGCCCCTGAATGTTTTACTATCTCCATAGTTTTACCTTCTCCGGAGTGTCATATAGCTGGAATCATACAGCATGTAGCCTTTTCTGATTGACTTCTTGTACTTAGCAATATGCATGGAAGTTTCTTCCACATCCTTTCATAATGTGATAGCTCGTTTCTTTTTAGCACAAAATCACATTTCATCATTTCAAAGTAGCACAGTTTATCCATCCACCTGCTGAAGAAGGTCTTGGTGGCTTTCAAGTTTGGGCAGTTATGAATAAAGCTGCTATAAACCTCTGTGCGTACATAAGTCTTTAATTTATCTGAGTAAATACCAAGGAGCATGATAGTCTTCCCAGGTGAAAAGACGTGCCATGAATGAGAGCTCCATATCCTCACAAGCACGTTGTGAGTGTTCGGGGTTTGCGCCATTTTGTAATAATAGGTGTGTACTATCTCATGGTTGTAGTTTGCTGTTCCCTAATGACATACGACGTGAGCGTCTTTTCAGGTGCTTATTGACTATCTGTCTATCTTCTTTGCTGAGATATCTATTCAGGCTTTTTTTCCATTTTTAAATTGGGTTATCCATTTCTTATTGTTGAATTTTAAGAGTTCTTTGTATATTTTGGATGATATTCTTTTTCAAATGTTTTTTTCTGCAAATCTTTTCTCCTAGTCTGTGGCATATCTTCTCATTCTCTTGACATTGTTTTTGCAAAGCAGAAATTTAATTTAATTTAATTTATTACTTTTTTTTGAGACAGGGTCTCATTCTGTTGCCCAGGATGGAGTTCCAGGGTGGGATCTCAGCTCACCGCAACCTCCACCTTCTGGGTTCAAACGATTCTCCTGCCTCAGCCCCCCAAGTAGCTGGGATTACAGGTGCCTGCCACCACACCCAGCTAATTTTTTATTTTTACTAGAGACAGGGTTTCACCATGTTGGCCAGGTTGGTCTTGAACTCCTGATCTCAAATGATCCACCCTCCTCAGCCTCCCAAAATACTGAGATTATAGGTGTGAGCCACCACACCCAGCCTAGAAATTTAATTTTAATAAATTCAGCTTATCAATTATTTCTTTTGTGGATTGCATCGTTGGTGTTGTATATGAAAGTCATCAGCAAATCCACGGCCATCTAGGTTTTCTCTACTTTTTCTGCTAAGTGTTTTACAGTTTTGCATTTTTTGTGTATGAAGGTGTGTAATCTGTGTGAATTCAGGGTGTGAGGTTGTGGCTAGCTTCATTTTTTGCCTGTGGGTGGCCCATAGTTTCAGCACGTGCTGTGGAAAAGACTATCTTGTTCCATTGCACTGCTTTTGCTGTTCCGTCAAAGATCAGTCAACTATAATTACGTGGGCTTATTCTGCACTCTCCATTCTAGTCCATTGACCTGTCTGTTCTTTCACCAATGCTGCACAGCCTTGGTTCCTGTAGCTTTGTAGTAAGTCTCCAGGTTGGGTGGTGTCAGTCCTCTCACTTTGTTTTTCTCCTTCGGTGTTGATTGGCTTGGTTGTTCTGGGTCTTTGGCGTCTCCATATAAATTTTATTTTAGAATTAGTCTGTTGATAGCCACAAGATAACTTGCTGAGATTTTGACTGGTATTACATTAAATATGTAGATGAAGTCTAGAATATCTTTACGATATTGAGCCCTCCTGTCCGTGAGCATCCATTATTTATTTCTTCATTGATATTTTATGAAACAATTTTCAACAGTGGAGACAAATGGTGCTGTATCTCTGCTACAGAATGCCTGTAGAGCTCCGTGGTTAGATGTGCACAGTGGTGCCAGACTGCTGGGGTCAAGTTTGTCCCTCCTTCTTGGGCAGGTTAGGTAAGCTACTCATGTGTCACTTTGCCTTTCTATAAAATGGGGTGATAATGGCACCTTGCTCATGGTGTGGATTAAAGGGGGATCTGCACACAGCAGGTGCATAGCAACTGTACTTTTTCATTATTCAACTTGCTGAACTTCACTTGCTGAGTCACTTTAGTGACACAGTCATAGCACCAAAGCCAACTAGCGTGTCGGTCATTGGAAATCTGGGAGAAGACACATCTTATATAGTGTTTACTTTACGGACATCTCAACAGAAAGGAGCATCCTCACCCCCCCTCTAAATAAAAACCATCATTTATCAGCATCCCATTCCTTCTGAGAAGTCAGTAATTACCAAAGCCAACCCACGACTTCATAAAGAAAGCAAGAGATGAAACCCTTCCCATGGAGGAAGCTGACCTCCACATGTCTTACCAAGTTCTCCTGAGCCCCTGCTATAGGTCAGGCTCAGCCTTAGCCACCGGGTTCCAGAAATCAAAAACACATGTTTTTTGAGTTTGCATTCAGGTAAAGGAATGGCAAATAGACTTACTTTTTCTCTGAGAATTGGAGATCTTGAGCACACACATTGCCTAGAGCACAATCACTTTGTGCCTCACATACACAGATTTGGATGAAGAATAACATCACACACAGTTCCAGCTGAGCCCTATGACTGGTCCATTCCATCCTTTCATGCGTTTTACCCACACAGGGCTTGGTTTGGACAGGAGTAAATTTAGGGCCATGTTTCTGAAGTTGCTGAATTTGAGGCATAGGAGAGAATCCAGTCCTTGATGGACGTTTTCATTTCTTCAACCCTCTGTTCCCACCCTGACCTTTAAAAAGGAGTTGACTGGTCCTGAGCACATTGAGTCACCCCCTTGTGACACATCTCACACCTCCCTAGAGGGGGAGGAGGCCGTAATGTAGGCTTGTGCACGAACCCATTGCTAAGCCAGGACCCCATCAGTTTAAAAATATAAAAATTTATCAATTTTCATGATATTGAATATATTGATGAGCTTCTTAGTACCTAAAAGCTCACTCTACCTGGCTGCTTCATAAATTCCTTCTACCAGCTCTAAGGCAGTGAGAGAAACAGCTTAGAGACCAGAAGTCCTTTGCCCAAATAAAGCCCAGGAATCCAGCCCCAAATCAAGCCTCTTAGTCACCCACTCTCCAGTGCTTTACCTGCACGGCATGTGGTTTTTCACTTCAGCTTCCTCAGAGCTGCTCAGGCATTCCAGGATAACGCTGAGGACTGGGCTCAGTGAGCAACTCTCCCACCCAAAATGTTGGAGGGGCCCTCTTCCCATTTTAGGTGGAAGGCAAGTGTTAGCCATCGGGACCGGCTTCTGTTCGGAGGTTCGTCAAATCGCAGTAAGTCCACGTATGTCACATGGCAGATCAGGGAACGTACGAGCTGCCCAGTGTCATGATGGACAGTGATGGCCGTGATCGTGTCGGACGCTCAGCTGATCCTTCTCCCCGCTGAGGAAAGGTCAGCTGGATGCAGGGAGCCTTACGTTACATATCAGGAAACGCTTTCAAACAAAGAGATGTGTTTAAACTACGAGAGTTTAAATACTAAAGACAGAACCCAAGGACATTGAATAACTTTCCTGAAAATTTTAAGAGTCACTGAATAATGGTGAAGAAAAGCTGGACTGGAATGTCAGAGATGCCTCAACTTAAGTCAGGTCATTAGCTGGGTAAACACAGGATAGTTGCTTAATCACTTCTCATACAGCCCCCTTCCTCTATAAAATGGAAACATTATCATGAAGATTTATGATAAGAAACCAAGAGGATGTAGCTAAAAATCCCAGAACATCACAATTGCTTAATAAATAGCAACTATAATGATTCTCTCTTGATAACAAGAGAAATGCCTGGCTCTCTTTTGCTACTACATTTTGGATGAACTGAATAAAAGGAAAATGGTTAACTATGAATTAAACAGGAAGAATCAATCATCTACATATACAAACCATGATTAGGAAGGAGCTCAGCTCAGGTGACTCTTGAAAATTGCCTAGGGAATGTAAGATGCAAACAGAACAACCTCCTACAGCTAAATATACCAGGCGTTAGGAAGATGGGGTGAGATTCACGATGGCAAAGATGTGGAATCGACCTAAATGCCCATCAACGGTAGACCAGATAAAGAAAATACAGCACATACACACCATGGAATACTATGCTTCCATAAAAATAAGGACTGTCCTTTGCAGGAACATTAATGGAGCTGGAGGGCATTATCCTAAGCAAACTAATGCAGGAACAAAGAAAACAAATACCACATGTTCTCATTTATAAGTGGGAGCTAAATGATGAGAACTCATGGACACGAAGAGGGGAACAACAGACACCAGGGGCTACCTAAGAGTGAGGGTAAGAGGAGGGAGAGGAGCAGAAAAAATTCCTGCTAGCGAGGGTACTATGCTTAGTACCTGCATGATTAAATAATCTGTACAACAAACCCCATGACATCAGTTTACCTCCGTAAGAAACCTGTACACTAATCTCCAGAAGGAGGCCTGGTAAACTGAACCTAAAATAAAAGTGAAAAAAATAAAAATAAAAACATGGAATGAGATCCACCTGCATTACCAAGAAAAGATCCATAGAACAGATCATTACATGAGAAAATAAAAATCACAAAAGACGATCACTCTCTATGGATGCATTTACACAAGTCCAGGGAAATGGAGAGGGAAAGGTACAGGGCGGATACGGGTCACAGCACCTGGGGAAGGTCAACAGCCGGCCGATGACCGCCAGCACCTCGGGAAGGTCAACAGCCGGGCGGTGACTGCCAGCACCTCGGGAAGGTCAACAGCCGGGTGGTGACCGCCAGCATCTTGGGAAGGTCAAGAGCTGGCTGATGACCGCCAGCATCTCGGGAAGGTCAACAGCTGGCTGATGACCGCCAGCATCTTGGGAAGGTCAACAGCTGGCCGATGACCGCCATCATCATCTGGGAAGGTCAACATCTGGCTGATGACCGCCAGCATCTCGGGAAGGTCAACATCTGTCTGATGACCGCCAGCACCTCGGGAAGGTCAACAGCTGGCTGATGACCGCCATCACCTTGGGAAGGTCAACAGCTGGCCGATGACTGCCAGCATCTCGGGAAGGTCAACAACCGGGCAGTGACCACCAGCACCTCAGGAAGGTCAACAGCCGGGCGGTGACCGCCAGCACCTCAGGAAGGTCAACAGCTGGCTGATGACCACCATCATCTTGGGAAGGTCAACAGCTGGCCGATGACCACCAGCACCTCGGGAAGACCTGCTGGGGCATGGAGGGGAGGGAGCAGGGAGCCCTTCAGGTTACGCCCTTTATATTGTTCACATCTTTTACGATGAGCATTAATTCCTCTGTCACCTTGGGCAATATTTTTTACATGTTCAAAACAATTTCTAAAAATTATAATTTCAGAGCGTGGCATGATAAAAAAAAATGCAGTAAGGAATAAAAAAGTACAAATCGGATTCAGTGCATACTGCTTGGGTGCACCAAAAGCTCACAAATCACCACTAAAAAACTTACTTGTATAACCCAATACCACCTGTTCCTCCAAAACCTGTGAAAAGAACATTTTTTAATGCAGAGCAAAATTAGGGTGAAGGTATATGTGCTATAGTGTTCCACTATTGGAGTAATATTTTAAAGGATATATACGCAGACACACAGACATAACTTTTTTTTTTTTTTTTTTTTTTTTGAGACAGAGTCTTGCTCTGTCACTTAGGAGGCTTGAGTGTAGTGGCATGATCTCGGCTCACTGCAACCTCTGCCTTCCGGGCTCAAATGATTCTCCAGCCTCAACCTCCCGAGTAGCTGAGATTACAGGTGCATGTCACCACACCAGGCTAATTGTTGTATTTTTAGTAGAGATGGAGTAGAGATTTTGTATTTTTAGTAGAGATGGATTTCACCATGTTGGCCAGGCTGGTCTCAAACTCCTGTCCTCAAATGATCTGCCCACCTAGGCCTCCCAAAGTGCTGGAATTACAGGTGTGAGCCACCACGCCTGGTCCAGACATATCTTCTTATATGGACAAAAATAACCTCCAGAAGGAGGCCTAGCCACTGATGGAATGGCAGTCCTAAGCTGTTACTGTTCTGGGGTGAAACTGTTACATTTGAAATTTGCTATCTTGTCAATGTGGTACCTATTTAAGGATAATTACTTAAATGTTAAAATAAATAATAGAAAAGTTCAGATGCCCAAAGAATAAATTAATGCATGTAAAACAAAAGTAAACACAGACCTGAAGCATCCCAGCTAAGGTTAGATTCCCTTTGACCATTGCTGTTTCCTTGGCTCAGTTTTCGGTGAAGTGTGGATGAAGAGGTGAGGAAAGGAGGCAATTAAAAGAATGTATCCACAAATCTGAGATTGTAAAATGTCTCATTATGAGGTCTGGTGGAAATGGATTTGAATAGTCCAATTTCCAAGTTAAAAGAAGAAAAGAGGCTGGATGGGGTGGCTTATGCCTGTAATTCCAGCAGTTTGGGAGGCTGAGTCGGGTGGATCAGCTAAGGTCAGGAGTTCCAGACCAGCTTGGCCAACATGGTGAACCCCGTCTCTACTAAAAATACAAAAATTAGCCGGGGTGTGGTGGCACACACCTGGAGTCCCGTCTACCTTGGAAGCTGAGACAGAATTGCTTGAACCCAGGAGGTGGAGGTTGCAGTCAGCTGAGATCGAGCCACTGCACTCCAGCCTGGGCGACAGAGCAAGACTCCATCTAAGAAAGAGAGAAGGGAAAAAGGAAGGAAGGGAGGAAGGAAGGAAGGGAGGGAGGGAAGGAGGAAGGAGGGAAGGAAGGAAGGAAGGAAGGAAGGAAGGAAGGAAGGAAGGAAGGAAGGAGGGAGGGAAAGAGACAAGAATTCTAAAAATATTCAAAATAAAATCAGTTGATATTTATTATCTAGTGTAGCCAAGGCATTGGGTTGGGCTTTTATTTGCCTGTTTTCTATGAGAAGGGTGAGCTAAATTGTTTCTGTGGAAAATAAAAAGGAAACATTTAAAGTAACAAGAACCAAAAGTATCCACCAATACTGTGCATAACTTGGGAAACAGCTTGAGAGTCGTGGACACACGTTCTGCCACCTGAATGACGACCGTCAGGCAACCGCTGCCTTCAGTGCTCTGCTCCTCAGTATGCGTCAGCGTTGGCCTCTCTCACTGTTTAAAAGCCCTGTTGTTGGTCTGACGGGCCTCGGTTTGTCTTCTCAGGGAGTCTCAGACCCAGCACTTTCATTTCCTCCACACCGTGCAGGCAGTGAGCAGAAGGGACACTCCGGTTTTGTTAAGAATTGACACACAACTACCCTCATCTGGTCAATGGACGGACTGGGGCTAACGCTGAATGGCTGACACTTCAACAATCTGAAATAGAAACAGACCAGCCTGGTTTAAGAGTGAACTTGCTTTGTGCAAACTGTCAAAAAGAAAGCTTGGAGAAAACGTCTCCTGCAAAGAGGAAGAAAAGGGTTAAGTTGTTGACAAAATCTGGGCTTTCCTTGCAAATAATGATCTGTTGCTCGTATGCCATTGTCACGTTCTGGATGGCAGATTGTTTAACAAATTCAAAAAAAATTAAATTATCTATTTAGCAAAGGTCTGGAGCACAGAGGCTGGTCATTTACCCCAGGGCCAGGAAGATGAAAGCCCGTTCCCCGCCATTGGCGGCGGCCCTAGCACGTGAGTCCCATCGCGCCGTGCCCAGATATTCACACACAGCAATACTCAGGGGACAAACGCGAAGCCATGTGATTTTCCCCCTGCTATGTTAAAAACGCATTCCTATTTTTTCAAGCGTGCTTCGATTAAAGAGGGCACATCTGTTTTAAGTCCCCTTTTATGAAAATTACCGAGCTTCCTCTGCGTGCTTATCTTTTAATTTCAAAATCCTTTGTAGCAATAACTTGAGATAATAACCAGCCATATTTCTAGCCCCTTTAAACAATAAAGGGGGGAAGAAAAAAAGAAAGAACGAACACGTCATTTTAGAGCTTTGAACTCCTTATTCTAATCCTCCCCCTTTGGGCCTGGGTGGAAAGGGTCCCCTTCATTTGCGTTTAGAATGGCTGAGCCGGCCTGCGTGGACTGCCTGAGCCTGGCCTCCCAGCCCGCCAGCCTGGGCCCAGCTGGACGCTGCAGCACTATTCATCAACTGCCCCGGCAGGGGGGAGCCGCTGCTCACTTCCACCGCCAGGCAGCAAAGGGCTCAGCTTCCCTTTTAAGGTCTCTTTATTCCCCACCCCCAAACATTTTTACAAAGTTTCTCAGCCCCTTTCTCCCTCTGGAGGGGTTCCTCAAATGGACACGACCCTGGACTGCTTTTTTACACGCAAATCTCCCACCCCCAGTGTTTTTGTTTTGAATAGCACCTAATGGGGCCGGGTTACATTTACCATCTGTCTTTCTGCTATTTTAAACCCTTGCTTAAGGCTCAGGTTGTTCAGAGACGTAATCCAGGGATTGGGCAAACAGTGAGCAGTTGAGATTCCTTGTCTGGACTTCTTGCTCCAACGTCCTTCGCTGGTTCCTCCAAGTATTGATGAGACGAGAGATGCGCTGTAAGGTGGAGTGGAACGCAGGCTTGAGAGTCTGGAAACAGTGTCATTCCTGGGGTGACCTCATAGCCAGGGAGCCGGGGTCGCCGTGCCCACTGGGCCAGACCCACTGCCTGGCTCCCGTGGGCTCATCAGCCACAAGAGGCACAGTCTTCACAGTTCTGTTTCCCTCCCCGTGACACAAGGGTAATGACAATTTCGATAGTCTTTATGATCATCTGAAGAAAGGGATTCCTAGATGTCCAACGTGTTTTTCTGTGTGCTCTGTTTACAGGCTAAAGATAAAATAAGAGGAAATATGAGGTAATTGGTCTGTTCTTGTCCACGCACTTAGAAAGCCAGATACTTCCATCCTGACAGCATTCAATATCCGCCATGTTCCGCCTGCAACAGTGACTTGTAAATTCCCTGAATGAATAAGCACATAAGGCAGGAGATGCTAATCCAATTTAGACAAGTTCTGTGGAGCTTGATTTCTCCCTCCCACTGTACAACTCGGGGTCCTTCTATCTTTATGTCGGTGGATGGGGGTCAGTAGGAGAGTGAAATGTGAAAGTATTAGTTCTGCTTTAGTTCACAGCACTGATGACCAGTATCCAGACAGGGCTGGGGATGATATGCGGCTTTCAGTCATGGCACACACTCTCCCTCACTATGGAAGATTGGATGTTAAATGTAATTACTATTTAAAAAATGAACTGAATCCAAAAATCTTGGTCACCATCCATGCATACTTAGTGTGCACCTACTGCATACAGGGAGCCTCCAGGTCAGGCACTCAAGAGCAATGCCCATCAATAGATGTTTCCTGGAGGTAAGATCCCAGGGCACGTGGAGAGAGGAGGCCTGTAAGAAAAAAGCACACACCTCATTCAAGATATTAGTTGCTAAATGTCAAAGAGTTGAAGCAGCATTTATTCGGAAATTAAAGAGCAACATTATTCCTGGTGCTAGGAATATAATTCCTAAGACAAGCAAAGTCTCTGCCATGGTGAAGACTACCCGGGAGGAAATGGAAGACAGAAAGCAAACATGCAAATGAATAAAAATGTAATTTCAGGCCAGGTGCAGTGTCTCACACCTGTCATCCCAGCACTTTGGGAGGCTGAGGCAGGCGGATCATTTGAGGTCAGAAGTTTGAGACCAGCCTGACCAACATGGTGAAACCCTGTCTCCATTAAAAACACAAGAATTCGCCAGCCATGGTGGCTAGTGCCTGTAATCCCAGCTACTCAGGAGGCTGAGGCAGGAGAATCTCTTGAACCTGGGAGGCGGAGATTGCAGTGAGCCAAGATCACACCATTGTACTTCAGCCTGGGCAACAGAATGAGACTCATTCTCAAAAATAAAAAGTAATTTCAGGCAGTGACACAAACTCTGGAGGAAACAGAGCAATGAGGTGGGAGGGGCGGGTGGGGGTGAAATGCCAGCACCTCTGGGCAGATGACGCTGAAGCCCCAGGGAGGATGGCTGAGGCTGGGAACAGGCTGGAAGACGGCTGAGGCTGAGGCTGGAGAGAGGCAGGGCTATGTCATCCAGGGTGGAGTTTCTCATGTTTGATGGGCCTGGGAGTCAACGTGCAGCTTCTGGTTCAGTGTGTGCACGCATGTGCTGGGGATGTGCTTCGGCATCTGTGACAAGGCGATGGGGCTGCCGCACTCCCAGCCACACCCAAAGTCGCAAGGGCCAGACTTTTGGTTTTTCACCCTGGCCCTGCTAGAGTCACCTGGAGAACTTTTACCAATCACAGGTGCTGGCCCCCTTCCTGGTGGTTCTAATGAACGTCAAGGGTTGAGAACTACTGATTTAAGTGTCCTGTTGTCTCGGCCATTGGGAGGGGCTAGGAACCGCCAATGGGCCTTCAGAGGAGGCTTTCCCGGGTAGACCAGGGCTTGAGCCAAACCTCGGTGCACATCAAGCTCAGAGATGGTGGTTCAAAGAAACCCATTAGAGATAGGTAAAAAGCATGAGCCAGGTTTCTCAACATTTTGCACCATTCCAACATTTTTCAACATAATTCTTTGCTGTGGGGGCGCTCCTGTGTATGATGGCATGCTATCAGCAAACCTGGTCTCTACCAATCGGGTGCCGGTGGAAGCTGGTCTCTCTCTACCCGTCAGATGCCAGTGGAACCTGGTCTCTCTCTACCTGTCAGATGCCAGTGGAACCTGGTCTCTCTCTACCCGTCGGGTGCCAGTGGAGCCTGCTCTCTAGCCGTCGGATGCCAGCAGAGCCTGGTCTCTACCCATCGAATGCCAGTGGAACCAACCCTCCCAAGTTGTAACAGCCAGGAATATCTCCAGTCATTGTGAGTTGGCCCCGGGAGGAGAAATGGACCCCAGTTGAGAATCAGTGACTTGAACAAAGATGAAAAACTAGACAAGCCGAAGGCCCACGCATTATCTGACTGACGTTCACTGAATATCTGTGGTTTACTACCCTGGACTCCAGTAGGCTTTGGAGACAGGTCCCCCTTCTCTGAAGGCAAAGAAAGCACAGGCCTGGAGCTTCAGCAAATGCATACATAAATTTTAAAAGAAAAAATTGACATTGAAAAAAGGCACATGATTGAGTTTGGCTGTGTCCCCACACAAATCTCTTCCTGAATTGTAGCTCCCACAATTCCCACATGTCAAGGGAGGAACCCGGCAGGAGGCAATTGAGTCACGCAGGTGGGTCTTTCCCATGCTGCTCTCGCAATAGTGAATAAGCCACATGAGATCTGATGGTTTTAAAAACAGGGGTTTCCATGCTCAAGATCTCTCTTCGCCTGCCGCCATCCATGTGAGACATAACTTGCCCTCCTTGCCTTCCACCATGATTGTGAGTCCTCCCCAGCCACATGGAACTGTGAGTCCACCCCAGCCACATGGAACTGTGAGTCCTCCCCAGCAATGTGGAACTGTGTGAGTCCACCCCAGCCACGCAGAACTGAGTCCACCCCAGCCACGTGGAACTGTGAGTACATTAAACCCTTTGCTTTGATAAGTTGCCCAGTCTCGGGAATGTCTTTATCAGCAGTGTGAAAAGAGACTAATACAGCACTCACCTAGACATCATTGAGAGAATCAGAATTCTGTTAGTCTTCCTTATTTTAAGTTTTAGTTATTTCCTCATTTAAATGACTGGGGTGCTAATACAAGCAACAATGTGGATGAAGCCAGCAGGTAGTTCTGGAGAAGACCCAAAGGAGCACAGAGTGTTCAATTCCACCTACATGATGTTGGAGAACAGGCGAAACGATCTCAGGGTCTCAGGGGTCGGATTTGGGATTCCCCTTGGGGTTGGTCTCAGGGGAGCCTTCTGGGTGCTGGAGATGTCCTCTATCTCAGTGTTCCTTTCTGGCACCAGGGTCTGGTTTTGTGGTTGAAAATTTTTCCACAGGCTGAGGAGGAGGTTGGGAGATGGCTTTGGGATGAAACTTCCACCTCAGATCATCAGGCATTAGATTCCAGATCGTCAGTCATTAGATTCTCATAAGGAGCAAACAACCAGGACCCAGTGGAGCCCACGCCGATAAACCACAAACATGGAGTGAGTGTCAGGCAGATCATGCCTGGATCTTTGACTTTTCTGGTTTTTCGTATTGCTTATGTCAGTGGTTGTCAACTGGGGTCCATTTCTCCTCCTGGGACAATTGACAATGCCTGGAGATATGACTGCTTATTACAACTTGGAGGCATCTAGAACGTAGAGACCAGGGTTGCTGATAGCATGCCACAGTACACAGGAGCGCCCCACAGCAAAGAATTACGGAGTGTGCAGTCCACAAGTTCGCACTCTTATGAGAATCTAATGCCACCACTGATCTGACAGCAGGTGGAGCTCAGACAGTTGCTCCCCTCCTGCTGTACAGCCCTGTTCCTAACAGGGCACAGGCCAGTACCAGTCCATGCCCAGGTGCTGGAAACCTCTGCTCTCATAAGAGGAACTAGGTGGTGCTTCTGTGAATGCATGCAGATGTAGGGACTCGTTGAGTTGAACACTTAAGATTTGTACAATTGGTCGGGCGTGGTGCCTCACACCTGTAATCCCAGCACTTTGGCAGGCTGAGGCAGGTGGATCATTTGAGGCCAGGAGTTCAAGACCAGCCTTGCCAATATGGTGAAACTCCATCTCTACTAAAAATATTTTAAAAATTAGCCAGGCGTGGTGGTGGGCATCTGTAATCCCAGCTACTCAGGAGGCTGAGGCAGGAGAATTGCTTGAACCTGAGAGGTGGAGGCTGCAGTGAGCTGAGATCATGCCATTGGACTCCAGCCTTTTAATTTTTTTACATCTAGAAAAAAAAAGATTTATACACTTGATGTATGCTCCATGTACATAAAAGAGGCCCCTTTTTACAGAGCATAGCGGTTCTTGTGGGTAACCCCCAAATAGGCACCGAGGAATGACAGCTAAGCAGAACCCTGGCACAGTTAGGGCTTGAGGAATATCTCACGTTATAGTGTTACTACTCAGCTATTTCCTTTTACATAATCCTTTACATAATCATATATTAGTTCATAGAAATAGGGCTTGAAGAATCCCTTTATGTAATCCTCTATATATAGTCATATAATAGTTGATAGTATGAGTGCCTAAGGAATATTTCCCTACGTATATACCTATAATTATATCTTAGTTCATACTCGGAGGAATGCCTAGAGCAGACACAGTGCAGAGCATGATTTAAGGGAAAACAGTTACACCAGGACAAGAACCCACGGCCCAGGCGGCAGCGTTCAGTATCGTAAAGATCCCTGCTGTATGGCAGGCTTGGGGCGAGAGCCACTCCTCCTGACAAAGGAGTTGTAGGACCTTGCTCCAGTTCTGTGGAGGGTGCCCTCAGAACGGCAATCCATCTTGGTGACTGTGAACTTTATCAGCTCTTGCTACTGTGCTGCTTGAAAAGCATCTTCCCATAGAAGCCATTGGAAGCTGCCAGAAAGTGGCGGTAACCCTGACAGCTCTGTCACTGCTGTGTGACTTAAAGCATCCTCCTATAAATCTTCTTAGAAGTAGTTTGCCTGTAGATAGAAGTACTGCACACTGCACCCTCTTCACTGCGCACGGCCCACCTCCTGGCCTAGGTGACCTAATGGGGGTGGACCCCATGTTTTCTTGCTCACGACTCTATCACTATCCTTAAAGATGACTTCACTCACTGCCCTGCCCCCTAACCTATACACGATAAATACTCATGCTTCTGGACATTCGGGGCCTCGCCTGACTCCACTCATAGGTGGCGTGGCCCCCTGAGACCAGCTGCATTTTGTTCTTCTGTGTCCTGTCTCTTTATTTCTCGGATCCTGCACCTCAGCACAGCATAACGCTCACCCCACAACCCTGTGGGGCCCTCAGCCTTACAGTTCTAAAGTGATGTCTGCCTAGAACTGAGGGCGTACCTGGTTTCTTTCCAGCTGGATGATCAGGTCTATATTGCAGTGTTGTAAGGGGGGTGCAAATCTTGCTGGAGGAGCTTGATGACGAAAAGGCCATTGTCACGACAGGGAGTAGCATCCAGTCCTTGAAGGGCCTGCTCTTCTGCTGCTGGGAGAGTACAGTGCCCTCTTCCGGCAGCCAGGATGTGCGTCCTCCCCATGCTCTCCGGACGGCCCGATGGAGATGTATCATCATGTCCCCTCCCTGAGAGAGAGACACTGACAGCTCCAATTAGGCTCCTGGCAGCAAAAGACCAAGAAGGACTGACGGATGAATGGAGGGATGGAGAGAGGAGAGGCTGGGAGGAAGCAGGCCACGCAGAATGCCAGTCGCACAAGCTCCATGTGGGCATTAAGAGTTCTCTCTACAGTTCTTCCCATTTTTTCTGTATGTTTGAACGTTTTTATAATAAAATGTAGGGAGGGAAGTCGGCCTTCTTTTCTTTCTCCTTCTGCTGAGCTAAAACACCATGAGAGCTTTCTAATAGAACACATTTTACTGGAAGCTCTGTTACTGTTTGTAACCATCCCCACACATCAGAATCTTGCTCACAATGAGGTTATTATTGGGGAATGTCATCTAAGAGAAAATGCCCAGGTACATTCCCGGAGGTAAATGTTTTTAAATGTTGGGATGATTTGTCAAGAAAAGACTTTTCATATCTACCCTTGGATGATATGTAGAATTCTTTATAAGACTCAGATGTCTAGAAACATTTCCCAGCATCTCCTTTCTAAAGAGTGCCCAATTAAGGATGGGACGAAGGACTTTTTTCTTTTCTTGTACAACTTTGTTGTAATAGCTGATGAGGACTCGGGATCTGTGCTGGAGCCGCCGGGAGCATGTGAGGTCACCGGGGAGAGCAGAGCCAGTCATCGGCTGCCCTCAGGTGTTGGGAGCCTGGTCCTCCTGGGAGAGGGATTTAACAAAGGAATGCATTTCAAAGTAGACACTGTGTTTTCCATCCTTTTTCTGAAGTGTTTTCAAATACACTCCCAGCTAAAAGTCTTAGAAGTGAGAAAAGGAGGCATATATCAGACAACCCCCAAAGCAGCTGACAATCCAGAGAGCAAAAGATAGGGTCAGATTGGAGATGCCGGAGTCCCATGTACATTCTCACCATAGGAGGGCTTGATTTATTTTCACCCCACCCACTGGGTCTCAACTTTGAAATGCTCAGTACAAAAGAATTGGACTAATGCCCTACTTGCATGCATTCCCTCCTAAAACGTGACATGTCTGATTTCAATCCACTCTAAACCAGTGTGCTGCGTCTTTGTTGTGAAAGGGTGTTGCATCTGCTTAAACTCACACATCTCGAAGTTTGCTGTGAAGGTAAACAGAAAGCAATGTAAGGCAGGGATGTTGCTGTGTGTGTGTGTGTGTGTGTGTGTGTGTGAAATTTGTATAGTAGGACACGCATCTCTATCAAAAGAAATCAAATCAAACATTGGGTGCAATTTCCCCCCAACCTTTTCTCACCTTTGTCTCTCTCCCAGGAAATAGCAGTTGGGTGTGAATCCTCTAGGGTGGATATTAAGAGAAATTAGTGAAATTGGATTTTGTGCACATAAATACGACTACTTTTTTAAACATTCGTAAGGCTAGTGTATTGAACAGCATTTAAATTACATTTTTGTATGAAATATCTCTTGATTATGATTGGTCACTGGAGTCTTGATCCCTCAGGGAAGGCTCAGAGGACAGTTTTCGTGGCCCTCAGGGAAGGCACGGAGGACAGTTTGCGTGGCCCTCAGGGAAG